AGGGAAGCCTCGACATTAGTCCGAGGAAGGCTTCCCTAATGTAGACGTGCTATCTCGATTTAGAGCCCCAGAAGGCACTGGGGAGGAATAACTTAGCCCCTCACCAGGGCCATTCTATTTCGAAATAGCAGCAGTGGAGCATCTACACACGCCTTCTTTTGAGATAGCTATTTTGGAATAGGACTTATTCCCAGTAGAATGAGGTTTACAGATTTTGGAATAAGCCATCCATTATTTTAAAATTATTTTCAAATGACAGAATGGCTGTGTAGACACTCACATTGTTATTTCGAAATAACGCTAGTTATCATATATACAGTAGCCCAATGTCTGTGACTCTGTAATGCTGAGACTCTGGCTGTTCCCTCTGGGAGGGCCCGGCTGAGCAAAACAGAAGTCAGCCGAGCGCCACGGCGGGAGGCAACAGCGCCGCACAGAGGGAACAGCCACGGGGCGGGGCCTAGACGAGTGTGTGTCTCTGACGTCAGGAAAGGGCGCTGGATTCAAAAGGAGGAAAGCGAAGCAGACACAGAGGACGCGGAGGAGACAGAGGAGAACGGAGGAGGCGGAGGACAGCAAGAGAGAGAGTGAGAGAGATGCAGCAGGAAGAGGAGAAGAGAAACACAGAGTGAGAGGTGGGAGGGGGAGAAGAGAAAGAGAGAGATGGAGAGAGAGGCAGAAGGCAGAGGAGAGCTGAGAGAGAGGGGGGGAGGCAGTAGGAGGCGGAGAGAGAGAGAAAGAGACACGGAGCAGGAGACCAGAGGCTCAGGAGAGAAGACGGATGTGGAAGAGAGACCTGAAAAATCCCATCTTATGACGGGCTAATTGGCTAGTTTTGAAATAACGGTGCAGTGTAGATGCACCCTTAATATCTGGTGTGTGTTTTTGCTGCCATTCAACCCAACTTCCTTGCCCTCAGACAAACTTAACAATTTCTGCCACAGATGTTAAAAGTTTGACAGTCTTAGTTAATCTATACATCACAAGCTGAAGCATCATCACTAGTATTCTGCTTCCTGATCATTAGTCACTAGAATTTAGCTTATAGTAAGCCAGAAGACTTTGCTTCATTGACTAAACTGGCTCTGTTACCTTTATCTTCTGCTGGTGATGGTAGATCTGCCAGGCAATCTGTACGTGAACTGCACACCACTTCCCAGACTTCTGCAATCAAAAGGATAAGAATGTAGATTAGTTTAGTGCTAACAGTGTACAAAGCCACCTGATATAACCACTCATTTCCCTTTCTTTAAAATAGTTAAGAAATGAGAGAGACTAAAACCTCAGTTGGCAGAGGGAGGTGACCAACATTTTTTGGTGACATGACATTGACTACATGTATTGTTTTTAAATAAAGGGGAATTGAGAAGCAAGATGCGACTTTTGTCCATTTTCCCTACCAACTCCAATTGGAGTGGTAGGCATTAGCATTCAGAGTCTGAGATCCATGCTTTGTTCTTTCTCACTTACGTACTACCCTTATAAGGCACAATAAAGGGCATAAAGACTACTACAATATTTATGCAAAAGACGATTGAGTTTTAACCTGAATTATATTCCTGAGATGTAGCTGGGAGCTATTACATGTTTCTTCAGGTAAAGGATGAACACAAGACTTATGCTGTGCATATTGGCTGTGTCTAGACTGGCAAGTTTTTCTGCAAAAGCAGCTGCTTTTGCAGAAAAACTTGCCAGTCTAGACACAGCCAATATGCACAGCATAAGTCTTGTGTTCATCCTTTACCTGAAGAAACATGTAATAGCTCCCAGCTACATCTCAGGAATATAATTCAGGTTAAAACTCAATCGTCTTTTGCATAAATATTGTAGTAGTCTTTATGCCCTTTATTGTGCCTTATAAGGGTAGTACGTAAGTGAGAAAGAACAAAGCATGGATCTCAGACTCTGAATGCTAATGCCTACCACTCCAATTGGAGTTGGTAAAGCAGTACTTAATATAAATCCCCTGCAACCCTTACTTACTCTTACAGGTGGTCTATAGGGGTTGGTCACCTATGAAGAAAGTGGAAATAAAAATGAGAGATTTTTCTGAATTTGGCCAATATAAAGAAAGGTAGGGAACTTCCTTTCTTGAACAAACAAAAACATAGAAGGCATCGTTTTAGAGAAGTCTCTGACACAGGAAACCCAAAAGGCTTAATGAAACTCCTCCCTTAAAAACTTGTCTCTTTCACTTCTTGCACCAAACACAACCGGATTTTATGACAGATAAAACACTTGCATGCCAGCAACCAAATGGCGCCAAGGCTTTTCAGAACCAAGTAATCCTCCTACAATGAGCCCACAATGTTTAAACGAGCCCATAAATCCCCCTGCACTCATGAACTGCTGGAGGTTATTGCCATAACAGCACATTGGCAAAGGCTAGTTCTCTCTTGAGTTGTGTTCTCTTTATTATAAACAATCAAATGGTTCACTGGAATGAAAGGACAAGTAAAAGAGAGGCTGCAAATTGTTGCCGTACCCCTGAAGTCTTCTGCAGAAGGGTGTGGTGAACTGTGCCATGTCTACCTGCTACATTAATTGGATTTGAAGTCTAAAAGGAAAGAAAATAGCATGAATAATGCCATACTGTACCAGCAGCGCACTTCATACCTCAAGCTGTAGTAAATGGCATTACAGTAAAACTCCAGGGGTCCGGCATCCAATGGTCCGGCACTCCTGATGGTCTGTCAGCATCTGGAACCCAGAAGTGCTGGACAATTGGAGCTGCTCTGCCCCCGCCTTCCCCAATTCAGCCACTGCTGAAACTGACCAGCGGCTGACTCCCGCCATCCAATGGTCCGGCACTCCTGATGGTCTGTCAGCATCTGGAACCCAGAAGTGCTGGACAATTGGAGCTGCTCTGCCCCCGCCTTCCCCAATTCAGCCACTGCTGAAACTGACCAGCGGCTGACTCCAGGACTGAGAATTGCTTAAAGAAGCATATGTATTGCATATTTATTGTAAGTACCGTTCTCTGCATATTCTGTTT